CATTATTGCCCTAATCAAGAGTTAAAAAACAAACCATCAGGTTTAAACTGGATTTTAGCTCCTGATTCAGCAGCAAGACGCTTAATCGTCTCTCCACCTTTTCCAATAATCATTCCAACCGAAGCACGAGGAACAATTACCTAAAATATAGTTGTATTATCAGTAAAACAGGTGGATGCTGTCGCATTGTAAACTCACGTAATTGCCATTAAGCCAGCCGGAAAATAAAAAATCTTACTTCGCCAATCGAACGTTGTCCACCGCTTATTCCGAATGATCCAGGGAAACCGAAATGTCCAGGCGGATGGTCTTCACGCGACTGCAAAATTTCTTCAACCATTCTCCGAGCATTCTCTACTTTTTCAGGATCACCAGTAATACGCAAAGGTTTTGGCTGCCCTCCACTTTCTTGGTTTTCTTGTATCATAACCATTTTCACACCAGTTTGCTCCTGAAACATAATAACAGGTGGCAAAAATAGAAAGTAGTCCACGAAGATTACAAGATCGACAATGTCAAACATTTCTATTGACGCACCTGAATATTTTTGATTGTTTCTCCTCCTTTTCCAATTACGAGGCCACATTTTGCACCAGGAATAAACATCTCTTGAGTTATTTGACGGCCAGTACCAACAGGTATACCACCATCAAAATGGCCTGCTCGGTTCGGCGGAGGACGATTTCCTGCTCGAGCTATTACCTGAAAGCAAGCACAGAAATTACATCATTATAATTCTACGTTATAAATATGTTGATGTAATATCTTGTAACTCCTTCTACTTTCAAAATCTTCAAAAAAAGAAAAAAAAAAAAAAAAACAGAACAGCATTAAAATGTAGGCTAAATTTAGTAACAGTATTACATAGTACTAAATCTTTAACGTTCAATAAAAAGGCGCGAAATGCTATACAAAAGGGGAAAACTATTAGTAAATGACGCAACTTGACCAATAATCTAGAAAAATCGAAAGGATAAAACCGCCGAGAGAAATCGACTGCAATAGTTAAGAGTATTAAATTCTATAAACGGAAATTTGCAGCAAATTACTGCAACTCAGTATAATACACAGAAAAATTGGCAGAATATCAGCTACACCGTAATATCAGCTAAATACATTTCCTACCACTAATATGAAACGCAAAAGAAAGCGAAACATAACGAGGCAAGAATCAACCTCATTTATCATTGCCCTTGCGCGATCTACGGACATTTTACTGCCTTGTAAAGTACACTGGCGCATATTGTTCCCATCTGATTCGGGTGACATTTGTACGCGACAGTTGGTCTGTGACTGAATCTGTGATATTTGTTCACCACCACGGCCAATCACTATAAGAAATAACATCACATTATTGTTTGTAATTAAAGAAATTCAGAATTAAAGATAAATTCAAAACTAGATAAATTCAAAATTTGTCAAGTGAAAAGAAAAAAGAAAAAGAAAAAAACGGTAAATGAGTACAGACTACAGCAAAACATCTACCATTACCAAGGCCAACACAGTGGTCCGGAACCTCCATTGTTTCCATAACAACTTCTCCAACACCTCCAACTGGCGGCATACCGCCTGCAGCAACGTGACCCGGACCTCCAAGTGTTGAGATTTGCATGCTCCCGCCCATGTCCATTGTGTTTCCAGTGATATTAACCCTTTTGGTTGGATACACTGAAAAAAAGGCAAACGAATTCTCCATTCCAAAAACGGGAATTGCATATTAAATTTCAGCTATTTTATATTTGTATACCATGCATGCAAAAACACCAAGAATATAATATACGCATTGCAAATATAGAGTTTTAAATAATATGCACAATTGCACTGATAAAATTGACAAGTTGAAAATCAGCCGTTTCAAAATTAATCGAAATAATTCACATCAACAACCAAAATCCATAGAGAAAACGTAATCGATTTATGTACGTATTTATGAAAATTGAAGACTTCACTTTAAAAAATCCATAAATTGCAATGAAATACCGTATAAACGCGTATTACACCGTCAAAAACGGAACGTCTCAACGCAATAAGTTCCTAATATGAAAGTGTGACTGTTTAACGCATCAATGTATGCAAAATAACAAGTGAATCACTGGTACGTACGGTTAGATGAATCGTCCGAATTCGGTCGTTTCTGCGGATTCGAATGTGAAGAAGCAGCGAGCTAAACATAACAAGCAAAATATGAACATATACTATAAATGCATGTACAATCAATTATCACTTATGATATCATGAATAAAAATCTATAAGCATCCTCTTATTCTAAAAAAATGTCACGTAACATCAAACTTACGATAAAAATCGAAGTACTGCACATATGGCAAATATTTTTATTTCATTCCAGACAACAAATTTCCAAAACCAAATGGCATCATCATTATCATCATCATTATGCAGGAGGCATTCAGTCCAATTTGATGTCATAACTTTGGATGTTAATCTTTTCATAGCGGGTCAACATAACCGTACCACATTGTAAAACCATGGGAATTTTTTACACTACATCTCCGAATGGGAAAATTTCCGAAGCAACCCAAAATGAAATGAGAACAAAGTTTTAACATTCGTTTTTTCGAAAAGCTACAATTTTTTCCTGTCCATAAAAGGGTGGCGATTTGCCAAGCATATATAAATATATAAATAAATAAATATATGTATATAATCCACTACTCTGATTAACAAACAGAATCTAGCGGTGATTTCGCATTCGTCTCAAAATCAATTTCAAGCAAATACGTGAAAATATAGCAATATAGTCTAAAATTTGAGAAAAATCATTGGTTTGTAGATTGAATGCAAAAAGTGATATAAACTACGAAACAACACAATCATTCCTCTGTTCCTAAACCTAAGCAATAACATCCTTGAACTGATAACCACAGTCCCATATTTTACAGAATATAAGGAGACAAAAAGTCTTCAACTTGACCTATTCAAATGCATTATTATACTTTCATCCAACAAAACAAAACGTTTGTAACAACGCATTTGTTAAATGTGCAAATATTTCAATTTCATCGCTAACAGTACTATATGATGGCAATAACGGTAAGTGATGCAGTGATTTTCGAACTCAATTTTGCCTAGTCATTTCCCAAAATAAGCGGACACAGAAAGGTTGATCTAGATGAAAAAAAAAATATCACGAAAACTTCTGCAGGGAATTAATCAAAATAATAACAGTAATAAATACCGAAAAACTTTATACGGTATACTCCAGAATGCATAACACTGCAGTTCATTAATGCGATCTCAATTTTTTGAGAATACGAAATCAGCATACCTCTTTAGCGCGTTGCAATGCGTCCTGAATAGCGTCGGTAGAGATTATGCCTGTAGACATGCCGCGACAACAGCCATCAATGGAATTCAAACTACTGCCTGACGAAAAAAAAAATTGTACGACACAGAATCTTTCCAAACAGCCCCGATCTGGAATGATACCAAAACCGGTGACAAGCAAACCAGTAACTATGGTATCAGGGCTTACTAAATCAGAGTTTATTAATGACCATCTGATCATTCAATTTCATCACTGCCAAAATGTTATACACCATAAACGATGTATGTGAGCTTTTCGGTTTGAAACTCACTTGGCAAATCAACACAGGATTACAGTTGTTGGGTGTGTGTTGACAACTACAACAAAATAGTACCACCCAGATCTCTTGGTACCAAATCATAACCATAAATACAACCAAACTACCACCTCCACCACTAACACCCTCCCACCCACACTCACAGTGATACGAAATATACAATCACCGCCGCGCGCGAGCACCCATTCATTACGTACGCGTATGCATGGTAAGCCATTCCAACCAAATTGTTATAAAGACACGATGCACAAAGTGGTAGGGAACCGCCTATTTGAATTGAGGGAATTCAGGGAGCTTTGCCCTTCTTGTTGGGAAAGTGGTTGTGGAGTTTAGACATTTACCACATAAATCACTTAGAAGCAGTAAACATATAATCAGTTAGATCACACTCTAGCAATACTCTTAAGGGAACGAGTCAACCATGACACCAGTGCAACATCTTAGGGTACAGTAGGTAGAAGTCTAGTAAGAAAGAATCATTTATTTCCCGAAGAATTGGCAGCTTAAAGTCTCTTAAGAGTTAAGAGTTATATGGAAACTACGACGATACAATAAGCAAATAGTCTCAGTTTTCAAATTTCAATGTAATCTTTATCGAAAGATTGGACTAGAGTTGTAATTTAAATTTGGAAAAGATTGAAGATTTAGGGACTTGCAATACAACCACTATATGTTAAATACATATCATGATACAAAATTTCCTGACATCCCAGAAATAAAACTACAACAAATGATATAGCAAGAAAAATCAAACAAATCAACGTAATGACATAGAAATTAGCTTGCTGAATGCAGACGTTGTATTCTTTCACATAATGAGAATCATAAATTTATTTGGATAAAAATGATCAATGCATATGAAGTTTACAAAATCTCAAAAATTAACTTTGGAACAACCTTCGATATAAACAAACTCAAACAAATAATTCCTCCATTCTCTATTTGTACTGAGAACAATTCTTATGTGAAACAATCGGCTTACATAACGTAAACTTACGCCACAAAACAACCATTATAAAATATGCAACATAAAGGATAAAGAAACGTGCTATTCAATAAGATCATACATGCATTATAATGATACATAATAAATTGTGACCTCAATCAGTAGCGAAGCGCTAGTTTGCTCTTCCACGGATGATTCCACATACTTTGAAATGGTATAGAATGTACAATGAAAAATTAAGACGTGAAAATGTAATAAAGTCAGACTGCACAGTTTGAAATAAAAATAGGAAGAATTACCTAGTATAATATTTGTAATAAAATGATCCCAGAAAATGTGGCATCACAATATTTTTCAAATAATTCATATTAAAATTAAAAATGAATAATTAAAATTCCAGAGTTCTTACAACCACATATACAGAAGGATAAAAAAATGACCTAACGAACGTTTTATAAATCAGTACGTGTTAGTGTTGCGTCAGAAGCTGAATAACGTATGTTTGCTGCATTGCGTCCAGCTATGCGTCCATAAACAACGCATTCAAGCAATGAATTCCCAGCTAATCTATTACGTCCATGTACACCTCCTGTAACTTCTCCGGCAGCTAACAACCCTTTGAATGGTTTTCCCGAAAATTCATTGTATACAGCTGCCTAAAAATAATACATCAACATAAGAAATATAAGAAAAATTGTTAAAAATAACTATAACTAAAACTCATTCTTCATTAAAAAGTTTAAATGTTTCGAAATTATAGAAAAAATATTAAAGTCACTTAATCATAATATAACTCTACTGAAGTCATTAAGATCTTTAGGATTTCAATTCGTAGAAACAATGAATTGAATCAAAGGAAAATTTTCAGTCCAGGACGTAGTTTCTTTGTGTAAGTAAAACAAAATCTAAATAGAGAAGTTACATCTTTATCAATTTTTATTCCTCCCATTGTGTAATGAATAGCTGGAGTGATAACGGCGACATAATACGGCGGATGTTTCAAAGCAACCGGAAAAACCTTCTTTCCAAATTTATCTTCCTGAAATAAATATTCAAAATGTGAGATTTCATAAAATCTCCAAAACCCTTACACTTGGCACTTCAAGGAAGCTCAAATTAAGTGAAGAAACGAAGCGTATTGTTACCTTAGACAAAGATAATTTAGTATATTCGTTATATTCATCCAAGGTTTCTTTTAGTTTTGACGATTGTATTCCCATATAATTCGCTACTTCTTCCAAAGTGTCGAATTGCTACAATAGATGAAATCTTCCCACTAATTTACATTTTACAACACAAAATTTATCCACATTAGATTCAGCACAAAAATTAAAGAGGTCGCAAAAACCGGATAAGTGCTGACCATGACACAGTTTTTTGAAAACCAGTTAGCTACTGTTTAGTAGCAAAACAATCACTGAGAAAGAAAAAATCACTGAAGAAGAAAAGAGATGCTAATAATCAAGCTACAGCTTCTACCTTAAAAAAACCTTTAATTTTAGCATAGAAACCAAACGAAGCGCGGCCGAAATCTTCAACTGCCTGATCATCCATAACCATGAAAGCAGTATGAGCGCCAGCCTTCTCGTTTTTAGCGCAGAACTTCAAAATTTTATCGGTAACGTGATCGCGACGCCCCAGTTCATTCACAAACCGTTCTCCTTTGTCGTTTAACTACAACTTTTTAAAATTCTTTTTGAAGCAAAAAAAAAACATAGTTACTCAGTTATCTACAATCAATTTTTCGATAAACCAAAAATATATACCAAAATGGCGCCCTTTCCTCTGAGAGCTTCCGCGGCAAGAAATTTCGTCGCTGCTGCTGGATCTTTCGGATCCACAAATGCTGTAGGATGGATCTAAATTTTATTTATAACTGTGTACTTGAGATTATTATGCAACATAGTTACTAAATTATAAAAAGTTATGTAGCAACTATCAGAAACTAAAGAACTTGATTCCGTTAAACAGTAGGAAAGGTTTTTTCAATACTGGATGAAATGTAAAAAAACAGCGGTGAAAATAATTTTCCCGATTTTTTGCAAAATAATTTCAAATAGATTAATACTAATATAATAGCTATTAGTTACAAGAAGTGTTAACGTAAAAGCTATGAATGTTAAATATATAAACATAGAAAGTTTCCGTTTTACCTGGACATTATGCATGCCTACTAAAGCTGCGCCCATAGCACGAGCCATTTTAACTCCTCGTCCCGTAGCCCATGGACCGTTAGTTGTCGGAAAATGAGCTTTTTCTGGAGCAAATTCTTGCAATAATGAATCTTCTTTGGAATGATCGCAACTGAAACCACCAGTGGTCAAAACAACCGCTTTCCCAGATATTTCGTCTGAAAATTTTATTAAGTTGTTATCACGAAAGTTATATAAATAAATCAGTTATAAAAATTTTGCCAGTATTAGAAACTCGCTCAGTTGCGGTTAACTTCGTTTAATTGAGTTCCATCAGGAAAAACCATTTCTCTTATGTAATACGCTTCGTTATAAGACTGGAGAGTAGTATCTGAAACTTTAAAATAAAACTTTGCTTAGATTTCCACTTCAAATTTTGAAGTTAATGATAAGCAAAATTCAGATTATTAGAACACCATGTACCGAGAAATTGAAGAAGCAGTAGCATTTATCGCCGCCTATTTTTATTACAAGATGCCACGAAATCAAGTGAACAGATTTGGTGTAAAACTGGCAAATATATTATTAAAGTAATTTTTAAATAGCATGCTTAAAGATGCGTTAGTCGCAAATATTTTACATACTGACTTATTTTCTGAAGTAATAATCAAAATTCCTAACTACCAAACTAAATTTCATTCCATCCCTCTAATTATAAAACTACCTTTGAATAATCCTCAGATCAGTATTTCATTATCTCAAAAAAAGGAAGTAAATTTAAGTAGTTGTCGAAAGATTATCAAGGAAGATGAAAGTAAGATGAATGAGGAAAGGAAGAAAAACAATTCAGAAAGAATAACTCGTAAAATGATTTTGGATATAAATGTCAATGGAAAATTAGCTGTTGCTATTATGGAAGCTTCATCAGTCTTCAAAACGACACTAAAACAAATTGTGAATATTTCATTTTTAATATTTTAATAAAACTTTCACATCCCTTTTAGATACTACCTAACTGTCAATAAAACAAAATAAAGAAGGAAATCAACTGGTTAGTCTCAATTCAATAAAATTATCATTGTAATAATTTAAAAGTTGCAGAGCGCTCTACTTCCAAACGCTGTACAACTCCATATCAGTGAAGGTATGGTAAGTTACAGTTCCCAAAATAATCTAATGTGCCTATATCGAAGTGATGGTAACATGTATCACTACCATCGACGAGCTTATCACACCCAGCTACGACCACCAATTACTATTTTTATGGAAGATGATGACCATAAAATTTTCAAAGTAATTTTTTTTCGAAAAAAAAAAAAAAGAAAAATCACTATCATATTCTTCACCACTGACATATTCGTCATTCATGAGTCAACTAGTAATCACTAAAATTTGAAAGACTCATTTTAAGCTTATCACAAAGGATACATTTCCATATCGGCAATATAATCACAAAAAAAATTATAACACTATGAACAGCATGCAATTACGTAAAGTAATGAGATCAGCATACTTTCGACATAAGAATCAGCAATTACCAGGACCAGTCAGATCAGCCAAGTAAGCAAATGAATAAATTCATATTTTTGCTAAAATTAATTGTTATTTTGATAAATGGTCAAAGATATGAGCATAAGCATAAAATGTTTATAGACTTTCTGGTAATGGCTTCTTGCATCCATCAATATCACCTAGTTATGGCCATCAGTGGAAAGAAATGCAAGAAATGACAATGAGAAATAAACAAAACACTTATCGGTCTATAAGCTACAAAAAGCAAAACCTACATGCTCAACCAATAATAGGAAAAATTTCATATAAAAGACAGGACAAAGAGAGTGATACCATGCGAAGAGACAGTGAAAGAAGTAAAAAATTTGTAACTGATGATGTTCTTCGTTCTTTTGGCGTTCTCGCTTCCGACTACTCGGTAAGTGTCATAATCAATAATTCAACAACAATATTTCCCATCCCTTCTAATTTGTTGCAGTGATTTTATTAAGGAGTATGACACTTTCACGTTGAATACATCAGTCTCTGAATAACGTTACGCTGTTAATATTCGTTACGCTACTCAATTATTGAACTTCTCTATGCAATCTTATTCTTTTTAGCAATTGAAGATAGATTCGAATTAACAATACTACTACACTAATGATTAAAAAATATATAATATAACGTTACAATAAAGTAAAAACTACTCATTTATTCCAAACATGATAGAAATTCCACTAATTATTCTTTAATAATAAACTTCACAGTAGTCTCAAAAGACTGTTTCTGTTAAGCAGCTGTTAATTTAGACTTACATTGATTAATTAGCTGTTAACTTATCAATCGTATTTTTTATTACAGCGTTATGCTAATCAAAGCAACTGCAAAGATGTCAATTCTCTAATTGCTTATATGAACTATTCTTTGAACATTTGAACCCAGTTACCACTCCAGCGGACAAAAAAAAAAAAAAAAAAAAAAAAAAAAAAAGAAAAAAAGAGAAAAAAAAATTAAAACAAAAACATTTTAATTTAAATTTGAATAAAAAATATTACCAATCTGGCTGCCATTCTTAATACGCACACCGGTCACAAAATCGTTCCATGTGACCAGCCCAACTACTTCGGTCCCCAATAATATGCGCACCGAAAATATTTTTAAATTCCAGCACTTATATTACTTCTAGTTCCATTATATTTTATACAGCTAAGACCAAAATCTGATGCATTTGTCTAAGCATGCACATTTCTACTCTCATATCTTTACCAAAATACGATATTTACAAGATACTACTTTTTCTGGATGGTCTTTTTCATGCATGCGAAGTTTTTCCTTCAGCGCTTTGATAATACTGACACCAACCGCTACTGGTTTGCCTTCCTTCGGTTGCGGTATCCTAAAATGATGCAATGTTAACAGTCATCTGAATCATAACAACGCGATCCATGTCAAAAATTGGAAAAAAAAAAGTGGAAAATTCAATTGGCCTATTGAAAATTCTCCAAAGCACGGAAAAAAAATGTTCTAAATAATAATTTCTTAAAACAAAACGCCAGCTTATAATTAATCTCACCAGTGTACTCTCTTAACTGAATGTCCACCACAAAGGTTTATGTCAGATAAGTTAACCCCATGATCGATGAGGAATTGTACGGCAGTGGGCGAATGGCGTACCTGTAACGCCATACTTAAATATTTAACACATTGTTTAAAATACGTAAGCCATAATTCAATGAGAATCAAACATTACTGCACACAAAATGAGATATTAAGTATGAATATAGAGTTAAACTAAGTGGTTTGCTTTTTTTCGTTTCATTTGAAGTGAAATGAAAAAAAAGAAAAATAGCATAAAAGATCATTTGCAATCAGGCTTACTAATTGGTCAACTAATATGTGATCATTTTCGCGATCTCCAGCTGACATCGTATCGGAATAAAACAGTTCTGATGAGTCGTGTATTTGCCTAACACGTTGTGCTTCCGTATTACAAGCTGCTATTCCGCTTGATGCCTACGAAAAACATTTTTCAATGAGGAACATTTTTCTGAACATTTCTCGGAAATAACAAGTTTGAAATTCAACTAGAGAACTATGACAATGATTGAATAATATCAAAATAAAGATAAACATCAGGAGGAGATGGAGAAAATATTATTATTGTTTGGCCACAGAATACAGAATCCAATTCATCGTAGTTGATAGCACCATGAACTATGATGTAAGATACTAGCTTGTAACGATGGACTGTACGGTTATCTTGTTTGCTTGTTTCATACAGTGTGTAACAATATAGAAATTATATATAAAGAGAAAGTTCCATTTCTCCATACTTCATATTCTAAATATATTTTATAAACAAAGCTATCGGAACTACCATTATCATGCGCTTAACGGTTACCTTTTGGCTGTTACCACCCAAATCCTTTTCACCTTCGACAAGAATAACATTTGCGCCGTCGTGTATTGCCTCAAGTGTAGCAGAGAGACCAGCCAAACCACCACCAACGATAATAACAGGATCTGTGAACTCGGGTAACTGCAATTGTCGAATGTTTGCTGTAGTGCCAGAGTTGTTCAATGTGTTGTCACCACCAGCAATTACACCTTCCTAATTTTCAAAGGTAATAATGCAATAGCACTTTTGAAATGAATTTCTTTCAATTAAGAAAGATCATTCGAACCGTCTGGCTATTTGCTTAGTGACACGTCGAAAGCAGTGTAGGGATCAAAGATACAATATTACTGTTGATACATAATTTAAACCATCCTCAGTGAGAAAGATAACTTTCAAACATACCTCTAACGACTAAACCAACAAATCTTACCTTAGTCAAAACAACCTCTGCCATCATCATCAGCAATAAATACGACAAAAATCGCATTCGTAATACAAACAATTTGGTGATAATGTGAAATATGCTGAAAACAACTTAAATTCACACATTTGAAATTAATTAATAGTTCCTTTCTTTCCAACGCCTTTCTTTTATCAGATATAGAAGTGTAGAGACAATTCATCTTAAGTTTAATAATCGATTCAGCAATACTGTCCTTCTAAATTAAGAATAGTTTAATTTAACAACGCTCATGCCCTCCTCTTGTCAGAGTTGTTGCTGTAAGGGAACTCTTCATAGATCTCAATCGTCAATTTCTGTTACCAATAATTTTCATTAAAAAATTTTTTTCATCAACTCTGGATTTTACATGAAAATCGATCAAGTGGAAGGAAATCTTTAAAGGGAAACTTCCTTCAACGTAATTCAGTGATTAATAATAGAATGAAATGTTGTAGAAGAAATGAAAATAACAAGAAAAATGAATTGATGACAAAAAAACATTGACCAGTTCAATAATCTATCAAAAAAGGGCATTGTATTCCATCTCAAACGCTTTTACGAATAGCAAAACGACCTTCCCTAACTTTTCAATAAAAACTAAGCCGATAAAATGTATGTAATTGGATCAAACAACTTTATCTAAGTTATTAGTATGCTTAAATTGTGATTCAAGCAATAAAACTTGTCCCAACAAACATCTGGCATGATATCTATAGATTTCTCAACCAATGGAACCTTTTCTGAAGATGAATACACTTAGAAGCAAGGAATGAATTGCCCCCAAACAATACCATTAAAATTTGAAAAGTTCACGGAAAACTGAAGATGGCTAACACCATTTTTTTCTTCACTTTTCTGAAATGTTCCGATCTATTCATTGAAAATACAATACAACTTTGTAATAGAACTGTAGTAACTTGGGAAACGAACAAGTCAGAATCAATTTTATGGTTCCAAGATTACAAGCTTTCAAATAAATAAGAGCACAAAACATTAGCTATTAAATGAATCAGACAGATATTATTAAGCAGTTCAAAGAAACAGCGATAAAATATTGCAAATTATGTCGGAAGAACCGAAAAGCTGAAAACTCAGAAAAGATGCATTCCCAACCGGTTTCAGAGTATTTTGAATAATCAGTTTGACGTCTTATACCCGAACGCTACGAACATTTTTATCATTAGTTTTGAAGCAATACTATGATATTCTAATCTGAAATACAACTTTTCTGCATTGCACAGTATACCTTACTTTAGCAATTTATGAATGCTTTAGAAATTTATCAGAAAGACAAGAAAAGGCATTCCAATAATAATAGCGATTTGTTATAGGAATTCCAATGGTGTACAAAAGAAACAAAATACAGTAGACAACCATACCATAGAATATAGAGTACCAATATGAAATAAACAAACTTTTGAGCAAATCAAGGAAAATACATATACAATTTTCTTTAAATTAATATGATAATAAAATTGCAGGCAAGAACTAAGAAGTTCTGGAATGAATCAGAAATGAATTCTAAAAAGAGAAGCGATATGTAAGTGAAACTGAAAAATTGTTTCAGCTTTGCAGAGAGAGAAAGAGAGAGATGAAGTGAAATAAGAATAAAACTGAAATAAGAACAGTAACCCAAAAAAAGAGAAGGGAAATCTATTATAATATGGAAAGTAATTTGAAAACATAGAGTATAAAATTAAAATTAGAACAATTTGGTAAAAGAACGCCCGCTAAGGAAAATGAGCAAATAAAGAGCAAAAAAAAAAGGTGAAAGAAATCTCCAACATGTGTATCAGTATCCAATCAATTTCATTAATTCAGTTAACAATTACTCGTCTTTTTTCATCTGTGCAGCTTTACCCGCTTCACTCGATTCCTCAAAAAATTGAGATTAAGATTAAATCCACAGAAATGAAAAACAAAAAAAAAAAAAAAAAAAAAAACATCTCTAATCTAAACTTACAATCCACAGAAAAAAAAATTCATTTTTAATAATGACATTTTAATTAAAATCAACAGTACCTCTGGACCCGTTCTCTGTTCACTGACTGAATCGCCATCTTCGTCCAGTTCCATAGAAGGAGGAGGCATTTTGGCTTCAATTGCTGGATCAACAAGAAGACGAGGGGGAAAACGAAAGGAAAGTGGATTCGCCAATTCCGGAGATTTACTTCAAATGATTTGCTATATTCATCACAAACCACTTATAATGCAAGACGGATATCTTTCTCTACAGAAAAATCATGCATCTACTAATCTTCTGTTAGAAAACCAATCGCTTTGTGTAATTTATTAAAAAACGAATTAAATTTGATAAAAAATAAAATCTAGATATAGTATGCTGAAATTCTGTTAAGATTAGCAAAAGATTAATACAACTTTAAAAATACTCTTACACTGCTGATTCCAAGGAATTTGCCGAATTTTCCAATGCAAGTGGAGAAACACAACCACGACTTATAATGTGAGGCTGATGACAAACTCGTTTCGCTACACTGCAAATTAAATAATGTTTTTAACAGTCCTTTTTCATTCTTAAATAATTTTTTTTCTTGATAAATAATATTTTTTTAAACAATTTTCTTTGTTATAATTTAAATGAATAAAAGCGAAAGAAAGTTACCGCGCTTACCGTTGATCAGAATCCAATTCACAACCAGCTGAACTGGTATATCTACGTTTTGTTACTTGACGGACGGCTATAGGACTCAGACTTCTAGAAATAATGAAATTATATAGTCAGTCCAAAGTCATATGTACTTCACTGTTAAAAGAAATAAAAACAAAACATGAAAATTTTACATTAACTTTTTAAATAGAACCAATATGTATACCGCATTGTATGTCGTGTAGGACTCGGTGTTGGACTTGGACTAGGAGAATAAGTGATGTTGTTGCGAACAACCTGTTGCGTGGAGGGCGAATAACACTGCTGAAGTGAGAAATTTAACTTTGTATGCTCTCCAATGTAAAATAAAAACGTAATGTAACTTCAAAATTCCAAATCACATGACAGGATAACTGTTCTCATAAGAAACCTAACAAGAAGTAAATCATGGATATGATCCAAATTCAGAACCATAGTCTCAAATGTGATATAGCGACGACTCAATTAAATCAAGCTTTAAAGATATCTTCTGCTCCTCCACTAGTTATTTCCTAGCAACAAAATTTTATAGTCTTGATGTACTTAAAAATTTCAAACTAAACAACCTTCTGTATATCAACTGATCGTGTCGGTGATGGTGAACAACTGTGCGGGATAAAAGCATTCGTTAAAACAGAAATTGGTTCCGACAGGGAATGTGTTCTCTTTCGTTCTCCACTACCACCGATACTAAAATCATCGAATCCCAAAGACACCTAAACCAAAGGTTAGAAGAAATATGGCTGAGCAAATACATATATAATGAAAACAATATTCGTTCAATGATCTAACATCTCTACCTGTTGAGCGAATTGCATTAGTCTTTCATGGGCAAGTTCGCTTTCAATTGAGCAATTGCTTTCTCGACGTATATTTGCAACACGTGAATGCGAAGGTACAGGATGACATGCTGGTGATGATCGTCCCGAAACGCTGGGCGATGGTGTGAACTATAAGCAGCCCAGAATAATTTTATCAGTCGTAAAAAAAAATATAGAAATTGAGAAAAACTGATAATACAATTGCCATATATTTGTAATAGTAATATATTTTGTATTATACTTGTAACAGAAGAAATACAACGACTTGTGAAGTAATTTAAGGAGGTTAAATATCATTCATATAATAATTTTAGTTATCGCTGACAATAATTCACAATTTTATGACAATTAGCATAACACAATGATGCATTTTCAATCCTTAATTTGTAAGTAATCGAATGCTTACAGTACGTAGCAGAGAAGTTTTTCGTTCTGGTTCATTTCCACTTCCAGTAATACTATTGAGTGAACGCCATTTAATTCCGCTTGATTCAATAGTGCTTTGTCGTTCAAAACGAAAATGTCCACCAAAACTAAGCCAAGAAAAAGGAATTGCATATTTTCATATAATATAAAACATGAAATTCTGGATACAAAATATTTAATTTAAAAAAAATTTTGAAAGGACTTTCTGCAATTCAACCAGGCCCCATTTTAGTGTTTACCTGCTACTACTACTATCCTCTGCAGTCACATCGTCATCACTTGCGCTATCGGGAGCACAAGACAGGCGAATGCGTGCTGCACCATCTTGTTCGACCCTTCCATTATTATTGGTTCTTGAAACACTTCGACATCCTCCATTTAAAAGTAGGTTAGGAGAAATAGCATTTGTTGTTACTGTTGGCAGCGACAAAGCATTTTGTTGATTTAATGATGAACACCTGAAATTAGCACTAATCTGCTAATAAATTTGAACAAAATATTCAAGTATGTAAACATCATGCAAAAAGAATGAATTTGTCCGCAAAATGTTCGTCCGAAATTTAACGGTGAACATTTTTTTGTTCTGCCCGAAAAACTTACGACGAATGCCTTGATAATGATGAAATATCAATTTCCGATTCACTAATGTTAGAGGAATATGGTGAACTCTGCGCTGAACAAGCAGGTGAATTCTGACCCGTAGATGTTGAGAGTTCACATCTCATTTCTGCAACAGAAGACGGAAACTCCTTCAAATAACCGTAACTATCCAAAAATGGCTATGAAAAGGGTGGTGGCTTTAATTTTTTTGAGGAAATAATGAGATTCACTACATTATGTAAATACTCAAAAGCTACGAATTTTGCACTGAATCAAATATTCATATCGCATTTTAGATGTAATCCTGCTAATTCACAATGTGATTGACACTTCTCAACACAACACGTCGAAAAAAGAATGTACACTTTGTAAGGCCAAAGCCAAATAATTCAGTAGATACCTGTAGATCCGAAATTGATGTCTCCCATTAATAATTGATATGAACTAATCTCACAACCAATTCAACGATTTAATACTTGAATTTGTCGAGATGTAAATCTGAAAAAAAAGGATAACAAAGTAGGACATAGCAATGATGACAACACGAAATT